GGAATAAATCATTTGAACATTAATGGGAGGTCACTGCTAGAATTTCTTTCAGTAACTTTAATGTTTGATTAATTATGGCCACTTGTTAAGAAACTGAAGTGAGCCATATTATAATTTAAAATATTTTTTAAATTTTATCGCATTTGCTACAACCCAAGCAAACTCGTTTAAACCTTGGAATTTACATTTGCTACTGGAGAAAACATGCTCAATTTTATGGGTTTGATGACATTTGCTAACCAAATTAAAGTCAGAATTTGATTACATTTGCTACCTGAGCGAAAAATTGCACAATACTAACAGTTTGATCAGATTTTCTGCCCAAGCAACTTTGTTCAAAACTTGACTTTTGACCACATTTGCCGCTACAAGCAAAATTTTGTGTTTGATCAAATTTGCACACCCTAGAAAATTTGTTTAAAGTTTAGGTTTGCTAACATTTGCTTCGTGAGCAAACATGTTTAATACAAAGAGTTTGGTTACATTTGCCATGCAAAGCAATCTGGTTCAATTATGAAAATTTGATCACCCATGATAACCACACATGTCCAATAAATACAAACGGATACGATTCGTCAAACTGATGGTCCATTGGTACCAATGGTACGATTGGTACCAATAGAAAAGCACCCTATTCCAATGGTTCTGTTGGTGCATATGCATCTAATTAAGGGGACTTACATTATTTTCCCATGTGACCTGGTTGGGTACAGGGCAATTCCAATGGTCCATTGGTACCAATGGTACGATTGGTACCAATGGAAAAGCACCCTATTCCAATGGTTCTATTGGTGAATATGCATCTCATTAAGGAGACTTAGATAATTTTCCCATGTGACCTGGTTGGGTACAGGGCAATTCCAATGGTCCATTGGTACCAATGGTACGATTGGTACGTTCCTCGTTGTATAAGCCAACCATGCAAAACAAGTTCGCTTTAAAACCAAGTAAAAACGTGCTAATAATTATTATGAATATTCCTCGTTCTATAAGCCAACCATGCAAAACAAGTTCGTTTTTACACCAAGTAAAAACGCGCTAAAAATTATTATGAATATTCCTCGTTCTATAAGCCAACCACGCAAAACAAGTTCGCTTTTACACCAAGTAAAAGCGCGCTATAATTCTTATGAATATTACTCGTTCTATAAGCCAGCCACACAAAACAAGTTTACATCAAGTAAAAGCGCGCTACAATTCTTATGAATATTCCTCGTTCTATATCCCGATCACGCAAAACAAGTTCGCTTTTACACCAAGTAAAAGCACGCTATGATTCTTATGAATATTCCTCGTTCTATAAGCCAACCATGCAAAACAAGTTCGCTTTTACACCAAGTAAAAACGTGCTAATAATTATTATGAATATTCCTCGTTCTATAAGCCAACCACGCAAAACAAGTTCGCTTTTACACCAAGTAAAAACGTGCTAATAATTATTATGAATATTCCTCGTTCTATAAGCCAACCATGCAAAACAAGTTCGTTTTTACACCAAGTAAAAACGCGCTAAAAATTATTATGAATATTCCTCGTTCTATAAGCCAACCACGCAAAACAAGTTCGCTTTTACACCAAGTAAAAGCGCGCTATAATTCTTATGAATATTACTCGTTCTATAAGCCAGCCACACAAAACAAGTTTACATCAAGTAAAAGCGCGCTACAATTCTTATGAATATTCCTCGTTCTATATCCCGATCACGCAAAACAAGTTCGCTTTTACACCAAGTAAAAGCACGCTATGATTCTTATGAATATTCCTCGTTCTATAAGCCAACCATGCAAAACAAGTTCGCTTTTACACCAAGTAAAAACGTGCTAATAATTATTATGAATATTCCTCGTTCTATAAGCCAACCACGCAAAACAAGTTCGCTTTTACACCAAGTAAAAACGTGCTAATAATTATTATGAATATTCCTCGTTCTATAAGCCAACCACACAAAACAAGTTCGCTTTTACACCAAGCAAAAGCGCGCTAATAATTATTATGAATATTCCTCGTTCTATAAGCCAACCATGCAAAACAAGTTCGCTTTTACGCCAAGTAAAAACGAACTAATAATTATTATGAACATTCCTCGTTCTATAAGCCAACCACACAAAACAAGTTGCCTTTTACACTAAGTAAAAACGCGCTAATAATTATTATGAATATTCCTCGTTCTATAAGCCAACCACGCAAAACAAGTTCGCTGTTACACCAATTAAAAACGCGCCATAATTCTTATGAATATTCCTCGCTCTATAGGCTAACCGCGCAAAACAAGTTCGCTTTCACACAAAGTAAAAACGCGCTAATAGTTACAAAGCGAGGGCGACCTATATATCTAGCGCTAATAATATCTCAAGATGCTGCGAGTATAACAAACATCGTACGAACATTAAAATTGAAAGGTAACGCGTCACTGTCGTGTTCGTTCTGTTTATTGTGATTCACGAGCAAACAACAACATGACATATGAATGTCTTCTTTCCTGTACGCAAGCACTATTTTTCGGTAATTCTTACTTGTTAAAAGAACCCGAAACAACGCGGAAAGGCGCGAAACTAGCAAAGTGGTATTGAGGCAACAGGTTTTAACAACTGTACTCAACTCACTGTGAAATTAACTTCTGAAATTTCTTAGCGCAATTTCATTATCTACAAGGAAGCGTTTAAACCAAAACAAGTTTTCAATGAAGAGTTTCCGAAAAGGGTGGTTATATCATGCTATTGCTCCTAAGAGAGCCGTTTTATATTCAAGTGACTGAAGTCACTTTTGACTGTTGACGTGGGGTTTGTCGTGCTATAATCAAGGTCGTAGTAAAACCATTGATGTATTTAATGTCAACGTTGTCCTTGACAAATTGTATTTGCCGTGCTCTTTTCTCGGCTGTAGCTTGCGATGAGGCCAATCGTACCATTGGTACCAATGGACCATTGGAATTGCTCTGTACCCAGCTAGACCACAAGAGAAAATAATCTAACTCTCTTAATGAGATGCATATTCACCAATAGAACCATTGGAATAGGGTGCTTTTCCATCGGTACCAATCGTACCATTGGTACCAATGGACCATTGGTACCAATGGACCATTGGAATTGCCCTGTACCCAGCTAGACCACATGAGAAAATAATCTAAGTCCCCTTAATAAGTCTCGTTAATGAGATGCATATTCACCAATAGAACCATTGGAATAGGGTGCTTTTCCATTGCTACGTCAATCGTACCATTGGTACCAATGGACCATTGGAATTGCCCTGTACCCAGCTAGACCACTTGAGAAAATAATCTAACTCTCTTAATGAGATGCATATTCACCAATAGAACCATTGGAATAGGTCGCTTTTCTATTGGTACCAATAGTACCATTGGTACCAATGGACCATTGGAATTGCCCTGTACCCAGCTAGACCACATGAGAAAATAATCTAAGTCCCCTTAATGAGAAGCATATTCACCAATAGAACCATTGGAATAGGGTGCTTTTCCATCGGTACCAATCGTACCATTGGTACCAATGGACCATTGGAATTGCCCTGTACCCAACCAGGTCACATGCGAAAATAATCTAAGTCTGCTTAATGAGATGCATATTCACCAATAGAACCATTGGAATAGGATGCTTTTCTATTGGTACCAATCGTACCATTGGTACCAATGGAGACCCTTCTTATCACCACTAACACCAATGGAGTCTATTTGTGAGTATTGGACAACCCTCACTTACGGGGTAATAAATTAACGCAGATGACGTCATGCATCTCATTAAGATAGGATGATGTCATAGTTTATTTTTAGCTGGCTGACGTCATGCATGTCATATAGATAGAATGATGTCATAGTTTAATGTAGCTGGCAAGGAGCAAGTGACGTCAGAATTTCCTTGAGTTGACGTCATAAAAAAATGTTCAGATCATAATCTATAAACAGAAAAGTGATTTTTATATAATTAGCTATTTGCTACAGTCTTCTGATTAGATATTGTTTGCTATAGTCCTCTGACTGGATATTGTAGAAACTGTCATGTGTTCAAAATAAAAGCGGGCAAATTTTGAACGTGTTATCTTTGCAGATTATACTAAATCTTTAATCATTAAATTATTTTCACTTGACACTGTAGAAAGTATTGCACAGAGTATGAAAATTCTATAGGAAACAACAGGTGGTTCTAAAGTAAACCCTAACGCTTTTGGTTCTTAAATAAACCCCATTCTTGTTCCTAATGAGTGGAAAGTCTATTTATAAAAATAGGAATAAGAGGTGCGATCGCCTAGCAACACATGTCTTCTTATAGCGCTAAAAATCGGATATATAAACAAAACACACACACACCCATACAAAAAGTGGAGCTGAAAACTCTCTATTTCAATTTTGATTCACCATTACGAAAGCGTTTTCTCCGTCCCATCTCAAGGAAACGACTAAGTATTGAAGTCTCAGCGCTTGATGAGCATTCAAGCGCCGTTAGCGTTAGTCAGTTAATTATGCGGGTTAACAAGCCCAATGTTGAATACAAATTAGTTCATCTCTACAGCTAGACCCAAGGGAGCGCCTTGACTTATTATTGTAAAAACACAAACAATTAATAACTTAACAAGGATCAATTTAAACACGCGACAAATAAATTGACAAGACACGAGATACAGTTTTAAAAACTTTGTTGAAAACCAGTGACAAAAAGAGTCAAATACACAGCGATGTGGAAGGGAGGGAAATTAGACCTCCTCTTAGTTCTCCTCTTTAGAAGGTGAATAAAAATTGGTTTCCAACGTCTTGCCGTTTTTGTGTATAATCAATCCACATCGTGACACCGAAGAAAACCCTCTTTGATGTATTTTCTCTCCTCGGGGATCTGGTGACCGCATATAGGACAAATCTTGTAGTTATCGTGCCAAAAGCATTTAGGACATTTCATGATCAATGTGGAGTACACATTAGAGTTTTCGCAATGTTCACAGGGACTTTCAGAGTGAAAGGTGGTGGACGTTTCAGGGCTACTACTTTCTGTTTCCTCACTATCATTTTCAGTGTCGTTGTCGCTCTCTTGGGTGCCTTCAGTTTCAACGCCATTCTCAGAAGCCACTTCTTCCTCCTCCTCCTCCTCCTGATTTTCAATATCCGATGAACTCTCCTCATTATTACTCTCATTATCGGAAGTATTTCCTACATTTCGGTAGCCTTTTTCCTTTTCTATTAAATCACTTAACAACTTTTTGTTCTTGATTGAACCTTTATCGATTCCTAACTCTGCAAGTCCATCTAGAAACGTATTCAGCGCACGAGGCTTGGTAACCTCATTGTTATGAGGGAGTAACACATACTCAACTAGCTCGGCGATGTTTGTGACGGGAATAGTGCGTTTATTTCGAAGTAATTGTCCGCTGGGAGTCCAGAAAAGAATATCTTTGGACGCGGCCATACTATGCAGCAAATCAGAAGCACGCTTTTCCGACACTGCTCGGGAAAGATTACTCAAAACATCTTTTATTCTTGGTTCTTCTTTTATTCTTGGTTCTTCATCCTCGCTTTCATCACCAGAACTTTCGCTTTCTTCATATGTTCACTCTCGTGTTCTTCTTCAACCAAATCTATCTTTCTCTTCATTTTGATGAGTACCCGTGACAGATCGTAGCTTCAAATAAGTAACTTATAGTTTCGTTTCCTCTTTTATAGCATCAAAAATCCTAGGCTTGTAACAGCGGGTACCAATAGGTCTTGAATAAAACCATGGTCCTCTTGTACAAGGATTCGCTTCTTTGTTTTGTAAGGGACATTTGTTTCTGCTAGGTTTACTAGAGCATCCTTATATGGCAACACGTTCCGCTTATTTTCTTCGGGGATAAGAATGTATTCCTTAAGTATATTGTATAAGACTTGGACTAATGCATGTAGCTGTTTTGGACTGGCTGTCCGTAAAAGAAACTGTCGCTGATGAGCTGGACAAACAGCTAAGAATTGAAGAAAACCACGATTGTTCTTGACAACTTGAGACATTGCTTCAAAGTGAACTAAAGATGGCAGTTGGCAGTCTTTTATAGAATCTCGTGGAGAAAAAAAAAATGAAACGAGTGCGCGAAGGATAGAAAACAATAGAATGAGGAGGAGGAGCAAAAACAATAGAAATGAGCAGGAGGAGGAGGAGGAGGAGGAAAAACAATAGAAATGAGGAGGTGGAGGAGGAGGAGGGGGAGGAAAAACAGAAGAAATGAGGAGGAGGAGGAGCAGGAGGAGGGAAAAAAAATAGAAATGAGCAGGAGGAGCAGGAGGAGGAGGGGGGGGAGGAGGGGGAGGAGGGGGAGGAGGAAAGAAAACAACAGAAATGTGATGGTGGTGGTAGTGGTGGTTTTGGGGGAGGAAAACAATACAATTTTATGGCCTGAAAACCTATACAAATGCGCAACATTCTACCTCTTTCTCAGTCTACATTTTGCTCCTGAGGAGTTAACACGAGTTGGCTCTGTTCTGTCGGCGAAAAGTCCCTTAGTAGAAAAGATAATATGCAAAGGCACGTGGTGTCTAAACACCGCAATGCTGGTCTCACCCCATTTCAAACAGTTGCAATATTTTCACAGAAATGTCAGCGGTTTCGCTTCGAGCACCCTTTCACCTCCATGATTGCCGGAATGACCGGGTTCGGAAAAACGGCCTGGGTTCGATCGCTATTGCAACAAGCTTTAGAGACCATTTACCCTCCCCCGGAGAGGATCGTTTGGTGTTATTCACAATGGCAGCCTGCGTATACACAAATGTTAGTCGCCATGCCACACATTGAATTCGTCAAGGTAATTCCTACGGCTTTGGAGCAGGATTCCTATTTTGATGTGAACAAACGGAATTTGATCGTGTTTGATGATCAGATGATTGACGCTAGTCAAGACAAGCGAATTGTGAACCTCTTTACTCGTGGTTCTCATCATCGCAATCTGAGCGTGATTTATATCGTGCAGAATCTATTTCATCCGGGGAAAGGTAGCCGCAGCATAAGCCTAAACAGCCATTATCTGGTGTTATTCAAGAATCCACGAGACAAATTGCAAATCTTGGGTCTGGCGAAGCAAATGTATCCCGGGCAGACGGATTTCTTTTTAAATTAGTACGAAGAGGCTGTAAAAGACCTTTTGGTTATCTTCTGATTGATCTGAAAACTACTAACCAAGATAATTGTCGGTTGCGAACAAACGTCCTGCCCAGTGAAGAAGGCTTTAACCAAGCAGGGTTTCAAGAAAATATTCCTCAAGAGCGTCTAAAATATCTGAAGCAGCAAACTCTTTCGCCTGTCCCACTTCTTCCAGCTATGCAAGAAATACAAGACAACATGGATGACGTGCAGTCTCGAATTTTGTCACTGGTTTTCAATAAAGTTTTTAAAACTGTATCTCGTGTCTTGTCAATTTATTTGTCGCGTGTTTAAATTGATCCTTGTTAAGTTATTAATTGTTTGTGTTTTTACAATAATAAGTCAAGGCGCTCCCTTGGGTCTAGCTGTAGAGATGAACTAATTTGTATTCAACATTGGGCTTGTTAACCCGCATAATTAACTGACTAACGCTAACGGCGCTTGAATGCTCATCAAGCGCTGAGACTTCAATACTTAGTCGTTTCCTTGAGATGGGACGGAGAAAACGCTTTCGTAATGGTGAATCAAAATTGAAATAGAGAGTTTTCGGCTCCACTTTTTGTATGGGTGTGTGTGTGTTTTGTTTATATATCCGATTTTTAGCGCTATAAGAAGACATGTGTTGCTAGGCGATCGCACCTCTTATTCCTATTTTTATAAATAGACTTTCCACTCATTAGGAACAAGAATGGGGTTTATTTAAGAACCAAAAGAGTTAGGGTTTACTTTAGAACCACCTGTTGTTTTCTATAGAATTTTCATACTCTGTGCAATACTTTCTACAGCGTCAAGTAAACAAAGATTGACATTTTTGCTTGATAGGCAATTTCCACCTCGTTTTCATGTTTTGCCTGAAGAATTAGTACGATTTCGCATTCGCTTAACCTCCTTTTCCCTTCTTTTGAAGTAAAGATTGTTCAGTTAACCTCCGTGTCTTGGTTTTGCTTATAACCGATTTTTAGTGAAAATAATTTAATGATTAAAGATTTTTCATTTAGTATAATCTGCGAAGATAACACGTTCAAAATTTGCCGCTTTTATTTTGAACACATGACAGTTTCTACAATATCCAGTCAGAAGACTATAGCAAACAATATCTAATCAGAAGACTGTAGCAAATGATGATCTCAACATTTTTTGATGACGTCAACTCTAGGAAATTCTGACGTCACTTGCTCCTTGCAAGCTACGAATAAATTATGACATCATTCTATCTATATGACATGCATGACGTCAGCCAGCTTAAAATTAACTATGACATCATCCTATCTTAACGGCATGCGTGACGTCATCGGCATTAATTCAAACTATGACATCATCCTATCTTAATGAGATGCATGACGTCATCTGCGTTAATTTATTGCCCCGTAAGTTAATGGAATTCCCCCGCAAAGAAAAGGAGTAAAACATCCCTCCTCCACTACTAACCCGCTTTAACCGGTGTGGACAGAATTCCGATCCTGCACGGAATTGAACTCAGAAACTGCTTTTTCGCTGGCGGATAGTATACTGAACGTAAAATAAAAACATGAAAACATCTTTCCCATAACAAGTAAGTTACGGTAGATTGAACAGAAGAAAAGAATTGTCTGTCAGCTATTGAAAAATCGATGCCAGGCGCAAACAGACTTTAAACGCAATTAAAATGATAAAGCTAAGATATCAGAAACTCATAAGGGGTTGAAAACCCCTTATGAGTTTCTGAAAATATCCGGAGATGTCTCTTTGATGTCTTTGATCACTTACTCCAAGCATTGAAATGAATGCATTGCAACACTGAATATCAAGATGCTCTTAAATGCCATCGTCGTATTTCCTCTGGAATCCGCCTTAAACCGATAGTGTGCTGAAAAAGCATCCAGAATGTGTTTTAAAAATAATTCAACTACCAGAAAATGAGTGTCGTGAATAACTCAAAAACATGAAAACATATTCCCATAACATGCAAGTGAGGGAAGTCGATTGAACCGAACAAAGGGCAGTCAGCTGTAGGGCTTCTTCTTTGATTAGGAGTCATGTTTGTGATTCGAATTCGCCAGAGTAGAGGTCGGTACAAAAGAGACAGAAAGGTAGATAACTATGTCTAATTGTTCACCTGTTAATACATTTGATACAGCTGCAGTGATGTATCTGTAAGTATGCGAATTTGCCTTGATGCGAGTGTGAAAAAGTGGCCGTAATCTGGCCACAACAACATGTATATTTGTACATATATCTCTAGCCGGCTTTTTGAAAACGTTACAGCCCAGTGGACCTTAAAAATAAAAAAATATTCATATATATTAAAAAATAATCATCTTTCATCCTGCAGTAACAACATTTGGACATTGTTTGCTATTTCCGTGAGCGTCACCAACGACAAAGGTCTTTCAAAGAACTCACTTGGATAATTCCATTCAATAAGGTGTATAAAATCACTTCAGATTATAACTTTTCAAAATTCTGCTTTTGTAAAAACATTTCTTAGCTTTTTCTTCTTTTTTCACAAATAGGATTCATTGGAAGATAATCACAAGTCGTAAATAGTTATGTGCTGTGAGAGAAATATCTTACAAGTAAAATGATGTCAGTAAAAGCCAGGATTTTCTGCAATGCCATCTTCGTCGTTCCCCAGTTAAAAGCGCTGTCGGAATCGGCCTGAAGTTTGACAGAATTTGAAGCCTCTGTCTTGATAAGCGATAACCGATATGTAATCACTAAATTCGCGAATGGAGAGTTGAGTGAATAAATCTTAAACAAGAAAACTCGTTTAAAAAAACACGTTAGTGGAGACAAAAAAAAGACAAAAGGGTACAGTTTTGAGTGAGTACTTTAACTTGTCAAGTTTGTCAAAATTTCTGTCATTTTCATTCGGGTTAACTGTAGATGTAGGCATTGCGTTTGCTAACTATGCCTCATTATTTTTACAGTAGCTAAGGTTGCTTTTTTAATCTTTTGAGTTGTATAAGTGAAACGACAATGATCATTCTCTCTTGTTACAGACTTAATAGTAGCATGCAGTTTGTGGATAATCCTGCTTGTCAAAATTTGCGTCATTTCCCTCTGTTCGTTTTTAGAGTAATTTATCAGTAACGTTTGATAAAGTTCTGCTATTTTTAAATATTTTGAAGGCGGATTTATTCCAACAGTTTAAGTTGCGAGCTAATTCCTAATCTTTTGAACTTCGCTGTCAAGAGTCTTGCAGTAGCTTGCAATCATATCGATTGTTTGTTTTGCCTCATGTAGACACAGAGATGTGAAGACAACACCCGTGCTTCTAATCCTTGATAATTAGGATTAAAATCGATTTTTGTTCTCTGTCTGTAAGGTTCTTCTTTGGGATTGTAGAAGACATTTTATAAACTGGAGCGCAGAATAATCTTTTCGCTCTAATTAAGACAGAGAGGATTTCCCCAGACTTGTTATACAGGCCATTTACAAATTAAAACGGATCATATCAACACTAAAAAAGCCACCATGCTCCTAAATTCTTTCTCTGACGTTTTTTCTTAGTTTAAATATGTATCCATACGTGACAGAATTAAAGCTTTGTTGCTGCCGAATATTCTCGGGCTTTAAATATAACTGGCCCCGGCCAGCTATCATATAAACAGAAACTGCGCCTCACCGAGCTCGAAAAGTAATAAAGCGCCACATCGGATAGGTTCAGTGCCAGACTTGAGCGCAGTATCAAGGGTATTCGGACCCCACTGTAGAGGAAATGAATAACTTGGAGCAAGGCCTGGAACCCACTGAGACGGAGGTAAAAATCCAGGAGTGAGAAATGAGATTCGGTGCACCTATGTCTAAAGAAAAAATAGATGGTCTGTGAGCAGGCTAGGATGCCTAGGAACTTTCTCGCGTGCGTTTTAAAAAAGAAAGGCCGCTTGTGGTCTAGATTTTCATGGACTCCATCTTTTTAGATCTATTAAAAAACAGAAAATTACAGAATGAAAGCAAAAATTTACAAGCTTTTCCGATTACTGATATGACTACAACAGAATTCAATAAAACTCAAAACATAAGAATTTAAAAATATATTTAGCGACTTCGCTTGATTACAGTGACGTCACAACTATCTGAAGTCGGGAGTAAAGCATTATATGGTCTTACATGTAGCTTTAGACACTTGATTGGGACTCAAGTAATGCAACACAAGTGGGCGACGCCGGAAAGCGCCTGAGACGTGGATAAACATTTCAACAAAAACTGGTTTCCTTAGGAAAGTGGCTTTAGTCTAGTTTAGTTCATTATTCTTGACGACGGAATCTCCACGGCAAAACCAACTGGATTGAAGTTAGTTGGTTAAGAAACTTGACTAATATCCCTACCAAGTGTTTGCGGCACTAAACTACTTTTTTCTTTTCTCTAAGGCGTATAATGAGTATTGCTTTGGGGAGAAAATGAAAAGAAAATACGCTTTTGGATCTTTCTTTTCGTCAGTGCAAAGTCGTTTCCTGACTTTAACTTCAATGACTTTCTGCCTTGCGCAATTTACACCACTCAACACACGAAATTTCATACACTTAAAATAGTTACGGTGATACTTTTATTTGCGTTTTTAGAAACACTTCAGATCTTTTATTTTAATCGTTTACTAATCACCGTTTAATCCTTTTAATCCATTTCGACGAACAGATTAGATATGTCCTCCAAACCCCCACTGGGTGGTAGATTGGGTGCCCTGTGTGCTGCGGAACTTTGTACTCATGCCGGAAGCGTACCAGCCAAAGTTGTCTTCCTCTCTAACTGTTCCCGACTTCGCCACCTTAAATTGACAGTGAGTATATGTGCTATCAGTATGCAGGGTGTATGCATTGAGCTTCTGCCAGAAAGGTACCGTCAGATCCGTGGCTACGTGTCCCCGGATATTGATGTATTCCACTTTCTTACATGTGCCACTACCAACATAATCAATGATGTTAAAATCCTTGAAGTTTCCCCGAAGGTAGTCTCTAAAATCGATGCCATTGATCGGGTAGCTGCATGTAGCTCGCCAGTGAGTCGACTGGCCCTGCAAGAATCTCACTCGCGCCAGACTCTGTACTTAAGCGGTAAAGATCCCAGTTTAGGTTGTCTTCGTTTTGTGGGGAGTTGTACTTAAACGGGATTTTCTGAGAGCCTTCGATTTACGAGGGTCCATGACATCACCATAGTCCATGCAGTGTCTAACTCGGACTTCATGTCACAGTAAGCTGCGTAACTCTTTCCACTCTGGTCGTAAAGTTTGTATCTGCCACTTTCGGAGATCCCACGGCGCAGATAATCAACGCAGGAGGTTGGACGGAATGAAGTTGGCTTCTGTTCGGTTTCGTTGAGGGGGACGACCTTAACCCAGAGAGAGAGAGACAGAGAAAAGAAAATAAGACTGTCTTAACAAGATATACTTCGAAACAAAACTGAGCCTTGCTCTGCGGAAAATTTCTAATACAGAAGATATGTCTCGTGATCACATTTTAGCTGTTTTGTTCTCTAGATTTACAGTAATAAATCAAAAGATATTAAGATATTTGGCTTTATATCCCTTAAACTGGGAAAGCACAAAATATAAATAACATTAAAAAAAATACGTACCTTATATCCATGTGAATTGTACGCAGTTATCTTGACGTGTGAACGATAAACGTTTATATCGCGTTTGATCAGTCTGTCATCGTTAGCTATTGCTTCTCCCTGTGAAGAGGAACACTTTGTTACAGGAACCACTTGCTCTATTTATGTGCTTAACATTCTGGCTTCCAAATCACTTGAAGCACATTGTTTGTCGTCGACAAGATCGAGTCTTATTGAGTCTTGTCCTGTATCTGATTACATCGAATGAGGTGCGTATGCAATCGCTTAGTATTTTCAACATTCCGCCTTTTGACCGTTGTTTTTTTGTTAGTACATACTGTTTTTGTGGAAGATATAGATTACGAGTCGTGTATAGTTTTACTGCCTTAAATTATAACACGCGTGAGAAAATGGATTTAATAAATTGTATACAAGAAAACATGTTCCACCTAACACGTTTAGCAGTCTAGACAAAAGAACAAAAGGGTATAACTTTGAAAAGTACATTGAGTAGCCAAGTCTGTCAAAATTTGAGTCATTTCTCTTTGCTCCTTATTTGAGTTCATTGTATTAGTTGAGTCTAGGCAAACAATAGACTAACCATGCCATTTATCAATATTTTACAGTCGTAGTTTTGAGTTATTTCAGGAGTTTGCATTGAGTCGAGTGTTTTATTTTAACATAAAACGTCGAACTATAAACTTGTTTTAGTTCTATTTAGTCCTTTTAAAGTTAAAACTGCTTCTTTAGCACTTTGGAAGACAATAATAGTTTTATTAAGAAATAATGAAAATAATTATTTTGTATTTCCTTTTACCTGACCTATTCAAGACATTAAATGACCTAACTGAAGTTTATGATTATATATTAGAAGCCCTAAATGTGCTGTTGTTACTCGTGGTCATTTCACTAGCAGCCTTTGTGATAAGCAGGTAATCTTGGCGCTTTTGAAGAGATTATGTAAGAAATAAAACCTTTTTTTTTGCAAAATAAAACCTAGCAGGAATATATAACCAAGTCTGACTAATTTAGGTCAGAATTCAGATCTCACTCTTTTCGCGCCTCACGCTTGACTGGGTCCCTCACTTTCGCAGTTGGCTCAATTAAATTTCTGCTCAATTTTTTATGACAGAAGACGAAACAACTGTATGAATCGCTTCTTCCTATTCAATAAAGAATAAAGCTTGTTACAAAATTTTTTTGCCCCTTTTTAAACCTCCCCGCGTCCCAGTGCATTTACCATATTCGTCCCTTCTTCACCGGAAACGAGGTCGAGGTTGATTTCAAATATTATTTGAATAATACAGTGATATCTTTCCTTTTAATTCTCTATCTGGATCTATCTGGGGGCTTATACAACTTGGTAACGGGTTTTAGGAGGGCTCTTAAAGAAGGGAGCTTATAACCGGACTAAAAAAAGGCTTTAATTTAAAACAAGCTACATGGCAGTACTGATCAAAATACTCTTTGAATTTACTCGCTTTTTTAAGCCTCAAAACATCGAATTCATTTCAATACAAGTTAGAGGCGAGATTATAAAAGGACTTTTGACGTACAAGAGTTTTCAGCGATACCCTTCAAAGCACCATGTCCATTTGGGTCTCTTATCACTCTGGAGAAGTCCAAGAGCACACCCTCAAACCTAAGGTTTTGAAAGGATTTTATGACGAAAAAATAAACACTAAAAGAACTATAATTAGTTTTGCAAACGCATTTGTTACTTCACCACTCGTACGTTACCCAGAAGCGTTCGGTTAAGTGCTAATTTTCGGATGTCTGCCTTAAGGGACGGCTGTGTTTACCACTAAGAAAAAAATAAATTTTCCACATTTCAGTAGGACTTACGCGCGAAACTACCTTTAGTGCAGTAATTTTGTGATAGTTGCCCCAGTACAGTTTGCCGCCAATTTTGCGCCCAAACTGCGTATGAACATATAACATTATCTGCATCGAAACAAAATAGCTATAAAAAATTTTCTGACGCTCATGAGTTAAAATTTGAAGATCTTTTTCCTCTGATACATATCGTCTCTTGGCAGCGATCGGCAGGTGACGTAATAGTCTCTAGGCCAGTCAAAACTACGGAAAAAATAATTTGAATGCTTAGTAACTCAGTGTTATTCCGGTTGGCGTCAAGTGGTTCCTTTCATCATAAGACGAACTAGGCTCTTACTACTACATACAGAATCAGCACTGAGTTATTTAACGCGTTATTATAGTTCGTTGTTTAACTAAATCAGCCAGAAAAACACTTCAAGAACATCAATACAAGCTTCCTTTAACTTATAAAAAGTGCACGTGAGTGAGTGTTTTTACGTGAGTGCCGCGCATTAATAACAATACATAACTGAGTTATGTCTCATGACTGTTTATTTCCTCATGTAAATTACGACCTTATTAATGTACCCCTGTTATTAATAGTTGAAAGAGGGTAGCAACATGCCCATTTTTCAAACCAGTTGTAATGTCAAGAAATTAGTTAGCAATTAATGAATGAGGGTAAGTAGGATATGAAGAATTAAGCAGATCAAGGAGGGTGTTGTCCACCGAGGACAAAAGCCGAGGTAGATAACACCCTCCGAGATTTTTGCTCTACTATTCAATCAAAATAATTCCTAATTTAAAAACATAGCTGAATCATGCTTACCTGCATCGATGTTAAATTCATCTTCGATAGCGTACGTTTAGGTTTGTTAGCTCCACAAATATTCTCCAAATAGCAGATGTCGTCCTCCGAGTTGTCTTCTTGCTGTTTTTGCCATGTTTTTAGCTATTATTTCGCCTAGATCCAGCTGTAGGTCTTACTCTTGAAACGAGAGAAATGTCCGCCATATCTTTTTCACAACCAAAACAACTCAACCTCGTCCCCAGGTCTTCTCGGTAACGGTGTCTTAGCCTGTAGCGGGCTGCATTTTTGACGTCATTTGCTCGTTAAACACAAAATTCTTCCAAATTTGGTCGTCAGTAACTGGTTATGGTGAATTATGCGTGTGCTTTTAGCCAATCAGAGTTCGGGAAATATTTTGAATGAATGATAATGAACCTTACTAAGCTTCCACATGACGTATAGGAGGAGGTTGAGCTCCGAAAATACTGATTGCAATTTACAACTATTTTTTTTTTCGTTTCTGTCTTCACTGCGTTGGAGGTAAAGCCTCAAAAATCTTCAGCAAATATTTTTATTAACCGTTATGAAACAATTTACGAGTGAGTCGAGCAAAGTCTGCAAAAACTACGCAAAGCACTCTTAAACTGCTCTTATTTTCATTTTCGCTCAGCAGTATATATAGGTTGATGGTTTAAAAAATATTTAAACTTAAACGTTCTGGCCCACACTAATCGGCCGCACCAGTGTAAGTCAATGCATGTTTTCCTTGGGCACGAAGCAGTTTTATAGAAGGGACTCATTATTCTAAGAAAAGGACAACAAATATACCGCATCCTTGTAATTGTTTAACTTCTACTTTATATGCTAAATTCAATATTAAACGATTAAACGTGTGCCTGCTATGGGCCCGCAGCAGCCCGCTCGACAATCACCAAAAATATATGAAGGAAGAGGTACTCTTGATCAAAACCAACAGGAATGGTTGTTTTTGATTTAATAACTGTGTCAGACTAATGGGTCTTCCCGGGCACACATTCGTGCTACTCAGCGAACTGCATTTGGTTAATGGTTCACTTTATTTCACGCCACTATTACAAAACAGGTGGACTGTTAAAAAGCTCTGAAAAGTGCAGTTACAGCTTACTTCTTTGACTTATCCTGTAATATTATGGTTCAGCGATGAGTAGTATTGAAAATTAACCACGCAACTTAGTTATAAGTCGCGTATAGTTATATGTGCTGTGCGATAAATATCTTGCACGTAAAGTGATGCCAGTAAAAGCAAAGATATTCTGAAATGACGCCATCGCTGTTTGGGTTCCGTTAAAAGCGCTTTCCGAATCGGCCTGAAGTTTGACAAAATTTGAATCCTCAGTGAGTGTCGCGATAAACGTCGCCGCAAAAAAATGAACAAGCAAACGGTGGGGCTGGCTGGGGATCTGTTTAACTGATATGTTATCACTAATAAACTAGCGAAAGGAAATGGATTGAATAAAATCTTAAACAAGAAAACTTGTTCTTCATAACGCGTTTGATAGAAAACAAATAAGGAACAAAAGAATTATAACAATTTTTGACTGAAAGTACTTTCAGTTGTCAAGTTTGTCAAAATTTGGGTCAATTTCATTTTGGTTTATTGTAGACATTGAATTTGCTAACTAAGGGAAAGTTCATTTAATATGACAAGGGGGGGGGATGAAGATATTGAGGGGGGGCTCCGAAAATTTTTAGACACCCGAAGTGGGGGCTCTGAAAAAATTGTTGCGCAAGGAGGGGGGCTCCGAAAATTTGTGTACTTCAAAACCAACACATGACATCATCATACAGATCGGAGGGTTTTCAACTCAACAATTTAATGACCTGTGCAACTCAGCTATATCACGTGGTTTACAGATATAACAAATGTAGTCTCAGTAATTATTACACTCTTGTTCATCCTAAAAATGCTTTAGAAAATTGTATCACAACTGTATCTCAAGTTTGTCATAGTATAAACCATTGAAGACAATAACGGTAAATATATTTAATACAGTCTAGCGATCTTTTTTCAGGGGAGCAAAAGAATTGAAGGAGGGGGGGCTCTGAAATTTTTTTCTACTACCAAGGAGGGGGCTCCTAAAAAATTGAACCGCTAGCGAGGGGGGCTGCTAAAATTTCAAGCTTCGAGTTTCAATATCTTCATCCCCCTCCCCCCCCACCTTGTCATATTAAATGAACTTTCCCTAAATTCATATTTTTTTTCAGAACAGCCATTCTACGGAAATTATTCGACATTTAAGATTCTCCTACAAACACTGTAATTTCTCACGCGTTTGCCTACTCGTCAAGATGGCGTCGAAAACCGTGACAAGGTCTATTTTACAGTCGTATAGTTATTCCAGCATTTTAAGCTGCGAGCGAAATCAACTCAGTAAATATTAAATTTTATATCGATGGGTTTTCCAGGTTTATAGTACCTAACTCCTCCTCTTTGCTGGAAAAATATTCAGATTTTAAACGAAACGCAGATTCGCCCCATGTATTGTTAATTACATCAAGGAAATCCAAGACTGTCTTGGATTCTGGATTCTACGCCCTGAATTCCGGATTCTTTGTCCTTTGAGGAACTTGGATTCCGGATTCCTTGAGCAGTATTCCAGATTCAAAAGCCCAGGTTCCGGATTCTACGAGCAAAAATTTCTCAGATTCCATAGGTCGAGTGGATGAACATTATCAGTAAAAATATCTGACTTGAAATGGTGTTTGAAAATGTATTTGAAACTGACGAACAAGAACAAATTCACCCCATATTCAGATTTCGGTCATCCAGCTTGATAGTTGATTTTTAATTTCCATGCCTGAGCTTTCACAAACTAAACGTGAAAATAATCAACCCCTTTCCGACTAAAATCTCTTCCTTCCCAACAACAGTGTGAGCTTTTTGTCTGAATTCTGTGATTCAACCTAGGAAACCACGTGATAAAGAACTGAAATATCTGAAATAAAGTATATTTGCAAAGCACCATCAAAAACTAACTTTGAACACCAGCTAACTAGTGATTGGCGTTCACTGCGAACCCAAATTAAGCCTCCATTGTAAGTTAGAAAGATCTGAATTCAACGCTAATACGGTGTCGTCTCAGTAAATAGCTGCCAAATCCCCCTGCCAAATTAAAACAATGTTACGTTCTGTTGGAAAGTAGAGAGTAGCGGTGACCTAGCTTCTATCACCGTTCGTCGCTCTCTGTACTTTTGCAAACCTTCAAAAATGTATATCTTTTCCACTCTTTCTGTTTTACGTAACAACTTTTCCGTAAGATATATCATCACCCAAAAAGTACTGAGATGAAGCCACGTCACTGCACGCACAATTTTCGTTCCGGCCCTATTTTATGGTAAGCTATCGAATTCTTTATTAGCAAGGTCCCTACAGGTTGAATTGTTTTTATTCTTAATTGAAGCGTATAGGTAGTTAAAAGACAAATTAAACGAGGAAAAAATTTATTTTAAGCGTCGAAGAAATGAATAACCAGTGCTTAAATAAATTTGAAATAAGAAATAAATCCTCACTCCGCTTTCGTGCAGTTTGTTTTTAATTTTCAATTTTCGCAGTTGGTCTATAAAAAAGTAAATTTCTCGTCTTTACCCCTGTTTCTTTCAAAACCGTTTCCCGAAGTCATATTGATTCACCGCTCTTTACCACATCTTTGACTGACACAAACTTACCACAAATAACTTTTATTAACTTTTAATAAATTTTATTAAAGATCGATCCGTGAAACACTACACGAAAGTCATCTATAAATCAATGTTTCTTAAAAATCAAATCCGAGGGACTTTGGTCCAACTCTGTAACCCATTGTAAGGCTGTTTTGTCTCGGAGCAGATATAGATTAGCGGTGAGCACCAAACCAATACTGGGTGGTGGATTCGGCTGTTTCCGTGCATCGGAATTTAGTGCTGAGGCCATCTCCATACCAACCAAAGTTGTCTTCACTTGACACTGCACCAGACCTAGCCGCCTTAAACTGACAGTGGGTGTGGGTACTGTCAATATGCAGAGTCCATTTATTAAGACTCTGCCAGAAAGGCGCCGTCAGATCCGTGCCCACGTGTCCCCGGATGTTGACGTATTCCACTTTCTTGCACTTGCCTCCAGTGAAATCAAAGATGTTGAAGTCTTTGAAGTTTCCCCGAAGGTAATCTCTAAAATCAATACCTTTTATCGGGTAGCTGCATGTTGCTCGCCAGTGAGTCGACTGGCCCTGTAAGAATCTCATTCGCGCCAGACTTAAGCGGTAAAGATCCCAGTTGAGGGCGTCCTCGTTTTGAGGGGAGTTGTACTTGAAGGGGATTTTCACAAACGCTGGGAGCTTTCGATTTGTGGTACACCATGACATCACCATTGTCCATGCTGTGTTTAATTCGGACTTCATGTCACAATAAGCGGTGTAACTCTTTCCACTCTGGTCGTAAAGTTTGTATCTGCCACTTTCAGAGATCCCACGGCGCAGATAATCAATGCAGGAAGTTGGGCGGAATGAATTTGGCTTCTGTTCGGTTTCGTTGGTGGCGACGACCTTAACCTAGAAGAAACAAAAAATAAGTCTTTCTTCAGTATTAAGATACACTTAAAGAAAACTGAGCTTTGCTCTGCGGAAAATTTCTATTACAGTATGATATGCTGGATATGCTGCAAAACTGAGTCGCACTTTAGCTGTTTTCTTCTCTAGTTTTACAGTTATAAATCAAACGAAAAGTAATTTGGCTTTTTATCTCTTAAACTGGGAAAGCACTAAATATATTATCATTAAAAGAAATACGTACCTGTCCATGTGCATTGTACGCAGTTATCTTGACTTGTGAACGATAAACGTTTATATCGCGTTTGATCAGTCTGTCATCGTCAGCTATTGCTACTCCCTGAAAAAAGAGGAACACTTTGTTACTGGAACCACTTGCTCTATTTATGTGCTTAATATTCTGGTTTCCAAATCACTTGAAGCATATTGTGTGTCAAGTCTTATTGAATCATGTTCTGTATAATTACATTGAATGAGGTGCGTATGCAATCGCTTAGTATTTTCAACATTCCGCCTTTTGACCGTTATTTTTTTTGTCAGTACAAACTGTTTTTGTGGAAGATATAAATTACGAGTCGTGTATAGTTATATGTTTTCCGAGAAAAATTCTTACAAGTAAAATTATGCCAATAAAAGCCAGGATTTTCTGAAATGCCATCGCCGTCCCGGTTTCCGTTAAAAGCTCTCTAGGAATCGGCTTGATCGAAGTTTGACAAATTTGAACTCTTCTGTTTCGATAAGCCGTAGAAAAATGAACAAGCACACGGGCTAGTGATCTGTTTTACTGATTTAAATTATAACACGCGTGAGAAAATGGAGTTAATAAATTGTATACAAGAAAACATGTTCTACCTAACACGTTTAGCAGTCTAGACAAAAGAACAAAAGGGAATAACTTTGAAAAGTACATTGAGTAGCCAAGTCTGTCAAAATTTGTGTCATTTCCCTTTGTTCCTTTTTTGAGTTCATTGCGTAGTTGAGTCTAGTCAAACAATAGACTAACCATGCCATTATTCAATATTTTACAGTCGTAGTTTTGAGTTTTTTCAGCCGCTTGAGTTGCGAGTGTTTTATTTTAACATAAAACGCCGAACTATAAACTTTGTATCGACAGATCTTGTTTTAGTTCTCTTTAGTCCTTGTAAAGTTAAAACTGCTTCTTTAGCACTTTGGAAGACAATAATAGTTTTATTCAGAAATAATGAAAATAATTATTTTGTATTTCCTTTTACCCGAGCCATTCACGCTAAATGACCTAACTGAAGTTTAAAATTATATATTGGAAGCCTTAAATGAGCTGTTGTTACTCGTGGTCATTTCAGTAGCAGCCTTCGTGGTAAGCAGGTAATCTTGGCGCTTTTGAAGAGATTATGTAAGAAATAAAACCTAGCAGGAATATATAACCAAATCTGACGAACTTAGGTCAGAATTCAGATCTCACTCTTCTCGCGCCTCACGCTTGACTGGGTCCTTCACTTTCGCAGTTGGCTCCATTAAATTTCCGCTCACGTTTTATGACAGAAGACGAAACAGCTGTATGAATCGCTTCATCCTATTCAATAAAGCTTGATACAAAATATTTTGACACATTTTAAGCCTCCCCATGTCCCAGTGCATTTACCATTTTCGTCCCTTCTTCACCGGAAACGATAGCCGCGGACGAGAGGTTGATTTCAAATATTATGTGAATAATGAGGTGATACCTTTCCTTTTAATTCTCTATCTGGGGGCTTATACAACTTCGTAACGGGTTTTAGGAGGGCTTTTTAAGAGCTTTGTAAGAGGAAGTTTACGAGTATCAGATGGAACAGAACAATTAGTGGGTAAGAAATGAGAATTGAATATGATTTGTTAACTAAGAAACGTTACAAGAAGAGACTCCACGGTCATCTAGGTCCTTTAAAATTACAGACTTACGGATAAATACCGAGGGAATCTAATCTCATAGGTTGTTTATATTAGAGGATCATATTCATTATATATTCTCACTCATTGTTTTATGTCCAACACCATCGTCGAGTAATTTTTTTCACAAAACACTTCTTAGGTTATTTTTACACTAAAACGGATAGCCTTTCGCGTCTATCCAGTGTAGTATCAACACCTATCCGATGTGACTCTCCACTTTAAAGATCGGCGCGGAGCAGCTAATCGCTCCGCTACCGATCGAGGAATCGCGCCGAAATCACCGTCCTTATGTGTGAACCGAAGCCCTATCCTGTATGGTTTCCGTGCAGACGCAAAAGCTATCCTTTTCGCAATAATTAAATGGAAACCTTGAATGAAATTACAATTCCTTTTTAAGACACATCGGTCGAAAGATATTCAGAAAGACAGTCTTTACTCCTACAGGTGTTTAGAATTGGATCATTGATGACAAACTCTAGTCCAAGTGGCGTTGTCTACGAACTAAACAGTAGGGATCTTAAGCAACTACGACGACGACAACTTCAAAAAACAAAACGTTTAATGATCAAAACAACAGCTCTGCACGTGCATCACGCTTGTAGCACATTGCTTTGACGTCCACTGTACGACTACGACGTGAAACCTCCTAATTTGACGTTTTATGGAGGACGTGGACATACGACGACGAATTTTCCTTCCTCTTTTTGAACTTGAATAAAATGCTCAAGAATTCAACTCTAGGAAAGGTCGCCTGCATTTGACATATTGAGCGGGTCCAAATAATAGACGCGATGAAGTTTGAAAAAAAAACGCAAATTCATTTTGTTTTTAACGACGTTTTCACTGCCGTCATCATCGTCGTTGCTTAAGGTCGCCAGTGGCACCCAACGACGGTTTCCTCCTTTTTAATTTGCGTCTGTTCGGTCATCCGAGGGCAACTTGAGTCTTTTCGCAATTACAACAGCCTCAGTATTATTTTCCCGAAAATTTTAAATGTAGCCTGCGTAGCTGGCGGTATTGTGTAGTAGTCGAGTGAGATTTGGCGGCGGAGCCGTTGTAATATAGTCGAGTGAGATTTGACGGCGGAGCCGTCACGAGCGGCGAATCCGCGAGAAATACCGCCTGCCAGAGAACCATGATTTTTCGAATGCCGCCTACTTTTGTCACAGTTAGCTGATCGCAATTAATAAATCAGCCAGTCAAAGAGAAACCTGCAATTTGAAACTTCCGATTATTTTCGCGCGAGACAGTTTAGATATAAGCGTTGACAGGCTAAACACGACTCCTAAGCTCGTGATAATGTGAAACGTGACCTTGTGAGTTTGCTTGAACAGAGGGTTTTTTAATTTTCTCGGCTCTCGCGCGAAGGTTACTAGCACTACACAGTGCATGTATCATTCTAAACTTTGACTGACTAAATCTTTTTTTTGCAACACTGACCAGGCTTAACATTAAAAGGTCATGAAGCTGGTTTGTTACACGCATACTGAGTAACCATTTCTGGTGGTTTATTCTTCTGTAGGTGTTCCTGATAGGATTTGATCTCAGATGCAGTTGTATAGTGTTTTAATTTTCTTTGACCTTTGTTTCTTACGGCTAAATAAAGACAATTCCAGCGCTGTGAAGTTTAAAGACGCCATTTCGGCAATTTGGTCATCAATTATGCTCTTTTTAAAGCGGAAATCACAATCACTTTACATCAGAAGACGACTTTACATGTACGTCTTTTTCAGTTTGCCATCTGCTCCCTAAATTGGGAAATACATGCGCTCATCTAACATGATTGACATATGCATGGCCCTCGACCAATCCGTTTCCCCGCACACTGGTGTGCGGACTATTCAAAATACCGGGGTTTTCTGGCAGGCGGTATTTCAACCGCCTCGTCCCTACTCCCTTTTTTTTGGAACACGGCGCCGCCAAAACTTTAATCTCGCACCCACACAATACCGCCAGCTACGCAGGCTATTTTAAATGCAATTTAAAGTGTTACGAAAGTAAGAATTTTTCTGTACCCTCTCTCCAAAGCATTTTTTCTAAGAAAAATAGCTTAACCTGTGGAGTGAAATGCGACACTGAATTCAACTTAAGAAAATCTTAGGGAAATTAGAAATTTTTAGCCTTCCTCAAGCTATAGAAGGTTATAGAAAATTCTAGACGATTTTTGCTCCCCCCAACAGATATTTTACAGAAAACAGACGTTGGGTGCCCCTGACTAAAACTACAGGAAAATATATCTTTTGGAAAATGTTTTGTTCCTACAAGTGCAGTTTCTGAACAAAACATTTTCCCATTTTCCTTAACCAGAATTTTAAAAATGAAAATCTTAGACCAAAGCTGATCAAAGTTTGGAAAGGTAAAACTAAAACCAATGAACAGTCTCATGCGCTTTCCATTTCCTGTTCTAATGGTCAGTTTTTATCCGGATTCGATTTGTTGCTATAGTATATAGCTTATAACTTAATACCACAGGCACAATATCTCGAAAATACATCGAGTCATTTACTTCAAAGTATGTCTTTCACGGGCTAAAACCGCCCTAGGATAATATTCTTTTAGGAAAGTTTTTCTTCCAGAAGGTGCAGTTTCTCAAAAAAGACTATTTATTTTTTAAATTGTTAATGTGAAAGGATTTCTAACGTATAAGAGTTTTCAGCGATACCCTACAAAGCACAATGTGTAATTTGGGTCTCCTATCACTCTGGAGGAGTACAAGAGCACACCTTCAAACCTTTTATGACGATTTTATGACGAAAAACTAGATACTAAAGGAAGTATTAGTTTCGCAAACGCATTTGTTTCTTCACCACTGTACTCGTACGTTACCCGTGTCATTTAAGACTTCACACAAAGTCTGTCGGAGAAGTGTTGATTTTCGGATGTCTGTCTTAACGCGCGGTTGTGTTTATCACTATTAAAAAAATAAATTTTCCCCATTTCAGTAGAACTTACATGGTTTAAAGTGCGAAATTACATTTTAGTACATAATTTTGTACGATAGTTGCTTACAGTTTGCCGCCAACTTGGGATCAAACTGCGCATGAGAATATAGCATTATCTGCATCGAAACAAAATAGCTATAAAAAATTCTCTGACGCTCATGAACAAAAATTTGAAGAGCTTTTTCCAGTCTAATAAGTATTGTCTCTTGGCAGCGATCGGCAGGTGGCGTAATAGTCTCTAGGCTAGTCAAAACTATAAAAACAATTTGAATGCTTAGTAACTCAGTGATATTCTGGTTGGCGTCAAGAGGTTCCTTTCATCACAAGAACTGGCAATAAATCCATAGACGAACTCTCTTGCTATACTACATACAGAATCAGCACTGAGTTATTCAACATTCAACGCGTTATTGTAGGTCGTTGCTGAACTAAATCAGCCAGAAAAAACACTTGCAGAACATCAAGATAACTTCTAAAAAGTGCACGTTTTAACGTGAGTGCCACGCATTATTAACAATGTATAACTGACTTCTTTCTAATGACTGTCTATTTCCTCAATGTAAATTGGGACCTTAATTAATGTAGCCCTGTTATTACTGAATAGTTGAAAGTGGGTAGCAACATGCCCATTTTTCATACCTGTTGTTAAGTCAAGAAATTAGTGAACCCAACCAGGCTTCCACATGACGTAGGAGGAGGTTCAGCTCCGAAAATACTGATTGCAATTTACAGCTACTTTTTTTTCGTTTTGTTCTTCTCTGCGTTGGAGGTAAAGCCTGAAAAATCTTCAGTAAATCTTTTTATTAGA